AGGAAGCCGTGGGTAATTCGCTGAGTGATGATGTGGGAATTATAACCCGAAAGCACCCCCGCTGGGCCCATTCGGTGTGGGCTTCCCCGCGGAGCCGGTGCTGAAGGAAATTTCCATTTTGCAAGCAGGTAAGTTCTGCACATCATGGTAATAGCAAGGCAGGTCAGTCAAATGATCATTGGCTGCAATTAGCACTCCAGAGGCCGCAGGGTTCTTTATCTCCTCCTGGGCCGCAGGTAGAAAGGAAACGTCAGTTACTGATACCGAAGGCGTGAACGTTGCATTGTCCCATCTCAGCTGAGGAAGGTGCCCCTGGCAGAGGGCATGGCTGGACTGCAGGGCCACACCCCACCTGTGTCTTCGGGAGGTTCCTCAAAAAGAGAGGAAAAGTGATGTTCAGTGAAACAAGCCAATCTGAGGAAGCTGGATGTCACATGACCTCACTTACGGGGGCACCTAGTGCACAAAAGGAACTGACCAACAAAATAAGACCCGAAGCAGGGAGGCGTGGAACAGACGGACATACCTGGATGTGGGGGTGGGGGGATGAGAAGAGATAAACCACAGAACGTACAGACTTACAGGCAAGGCCCATGGACATGGGCAACGGGGTGGTGAATACGTGGGGTGGGGGAGGGTGTAAAGGAAAATGGGAGATATCTGTAACACTATCAACAATAGAAAATTTAAAAATGTTACATTTAAAAAGAATAAAGGAAAAGTTGGAAATAAAAAGTAGGAGCGTGCGGACAAGCAGAGATGCCACAGGAAGCCCTGGGTTCCTGGGTTCCACATGGCAGGCGTGGAAGGACGGCTGCCCTGGGCACAGGGGGTGCAGTGCCTGGTGCCGGGGGGCGGGGGGGCCACCGAGGAGAGGTGCTTCCCTGACACACTTGGCAGTGACGACCAAGAACAGCAGCGCTTCAGGGTCCGAGTGTGACGGGGACGCGGGCACCCACTGAAGAGACTCCGGCTCTGGAAAGAGAACAGGCTACAGAGCGAGGACACTGCCTTTTCTCTCAGCCGTGGCCATGGCCGTGGCTGTGACCGTGGACATAGTTCAGAGCTGCTCCCAAAGGCGGCAGCTCCACACGGGGTGTAGAGCCGGGAGGCCGAGGGGACACGCAGCCTGAGCCTGGGAAGCCAGGTGGGGCTGGGACAACAGGGAGCCCCACAAACAAGAGGGAGTGGAGGTGAGGTAGGACGTCACTCCTGTGGCTGGTCCGTGGGACAGTGACCTTCACACAGGCTTTCTGACAAGGTCAGGGATGTCCTTCAGGCTTCGTGGCCTGTACTGGGTGTCACCACCTCTCAGCAGCGCACCAGCCACAGGCGAGCGGGTGTGTGTTCACCACATTCAGTTTAGGGCCCAGGCAGCCGAGTTAGAATCGGCCTCGAGTGCGGAAGGAGGGAGAGAACGTCACTTTTCTGGTTCTGCTCTTGGAACCCTCGGCGGTTGGACCCGTGAATATGAACTCATAGTAGGTTTCCTTGAGGCTCAACCAGGAAACCTACTGTGTGGGGGAATGTTGCCCAAATAGCACCTAGCACACAGCTCCTGAAAGACCACACAGGCACACGTTAGACGTGTACACAGGCGCCTCTGCTGTGAGGTACGGACCTCGAAGTCCTAACGGTTGATCATTTACTCTTCAAACATAAATGATTTTGCCCTGGCCAGTTTGGTTCAATGGTTAGAGCATCGGCCAAAGGGTCTCAGGTTCGATTCCCGGTCAAGGGCACTCTTCCTTTTTCTTATTTAAAACATTTTCTTTTTCCTCTTTGGGGCGCAAGTAGGAGGCAACCAATCAATGTGTCTCTAACGCGTCAATGTTTCTCTCTCTCTCTCCCCCTCCCCCAACCTTTCCACTCTCTCTAAAAATCAATGGAAAAAAATATTCTCACTCATTGCGTGAGGATTAAAAAAAAACAAAAACAAACTTAAATGATGTTCAGCCTGCGGCATTGTAGGTTTTTAGGTGTCACTGGGAGGAATTGACCTCCAGGCCTATTGGCAGTGAGAATCAGCTGTATCTGCAGTGGGAGAACTTCTGAAACGCACCTTCTTTCAAAGGAGCGCGCCTTCCCCCAAATGGCTCCACAGCCAGTGCCCAAGTTGCCTTGACAGTTTTGCCCAACTGCCATTTTCTTCCGACAGAATTTCCTCTAGAAATTGCCCGCCCAAGGGTTACATCTCCCTGGCAATGGAATTTATGACGGAGGTGAGGTGCCCCCGTTAAGTGTCAGTGGTATTTGTGTCCATGGATCTCAGGTAAACGCTCCGGTGTCATATTTCGTGTTAAGTGACCGGCCTTGTGCGTAAGTGACCCGGGGGGACTGTGGCCGCGGGAAGGATGGCACCCATCATGCATTGCTCTGCAGAAGCCCACGTCCAGCAATTCACTTTGTAAATGTATGGCTTGGAGGGTAAAACCCTTTGTTCTCTAATAAAAAATGCCTCATGTCCCTAAGATGCATGTAGCGTTGTTACCAGAAAGCCCAGGGGGCAGGTGGCTTTTGCGTAACGTTTGTGATTTACACAAGAGGTTTTGTAAAGTCTAGCTTGTCTGAGGACATAAAATTATCGTTTTTAGGGTAGCATTGTATTTATCATCAGACACGAAATTACATGGAAAAGTCTCCTGCTGACTTGACGTGTATTTTATTGGGCGGGATACAACCGACGTTGACCACAAAGGCAGGTTTTTATTCGTCTGATGGGCTGGCAGCGGGTGTGCGTTACTGTATCAGAATGCGGTACATCACCTGGTTTTCTAATGCTTTCCATCGGGGAGAGGGCCTGTGTGTTAACGCATCCTGCGGGCCATCCCTGCAGCAGGGCAGGCCTCGGGGGCGTGAGTGCGTCTCCCTTTCTCCCTTGTTTCATGGATGAGGGTGCTGGGCTCCTGCCCCGTCAGTAAGCTGCCGGGAAGGGGTTCCCTAAATGGGACATTTTCCCTTCTCTGCGGTGGGGCTCTTAATAGGCTTTCGCTCTTTGACTCCGGGATGCGCACCTGTCGGGGAGTGTCCGGGGGGCAGGTACCAGGAACCTCGGATCCTGGGTGGAGGTGAGGGGATCATCGGTGGAAGTTGGCATCACAGACAGTTCTGTGAAGGGAGGTCATGGAAAAGGACGTTGCCTCCAGGCCCAAGGGGAGGCGCTGGTTTACACACAGAGCAGGGCTTTACCTGCCCTCCTGTCCTTCAACACCTGTTCCTCACCTGGGAAACTGTCCCCTCTCCTGCCCCTGGAGCCGCAGCAGCTGTGGCCTGCCTGTCCACGCGGTCCCGTTGTCACTGGTGATCGGACCTGCTGGCCCCTCCACTGAATGGAAGGGCCCGTCACCGGGGCCTCCAGGCCTCCGGGACATGTTTGGACTTACTGTTCATTAAATGTATCTTGGTTACATACATTTTGTCAGAACTATATGGGTCTGTGGTGACCCATATATTTTCCTTTGGAAAAGCATTAGCATAATGAACCGCTGCAATGAGGTTAATAAAATCCTAAGAGAAAATAGAGCCACCGAAGAAGGGATCTGATAATCCAGGAGAAAGTCATTTCTTTGGACCCTGATATTCAAGAAAACATTCAGATTTAACGGTAGGAGGGAGGTAGTAGCATAAATGTATTATTCATTAATACATAAATATTTTCGAGTGCAGGGACCAAAATGACTAGATAACATGTGTATTGAAGACTGCTACATGTGTTTGGATGATTCATTGTGCTGATTGGCTGGGAGTGGGGCAGGCAGGAGAAGAACTGACATCACTTGTTACCAGGCAGGGGGAGAACAGACCAGGAAATTGGTGATCCCATGCCGAGTGACACCTTTTTTAGGGGATGCAGGTGTCTAGTTGCCCTGAGTAGGACCAGAGCAGGTGACTCCTCACGCTGGGACGGAGCTTTGAAAACCACGGAGAAGTGTCCACAGCAGAACGGGGTGGGTGTGGAAAGGGAGGGAGCTGGGGGCAGATTGAGGAGAGGACGTCACCAGCTCAGGCTCCTGCGATGCCCAGGCTCCAAGTGGGGCTGCACCAGTCGGGGTCTCAGACTCAAGCGTTTTGCATTACTCCTGGGGCCACTGCAGAGGGCGGAGCGTTCTAGGCCAGGAAAGGCCATGATGGGAATTGGTAACAAGGAGAGAGCATGAATGGGTCGCGTGGACACACAAAGTACAGGGTCCAGACTGAAGCAGAGAGACTTGGGGGGCGGGGAGGGGGTCTGGGTCTGGAAGGGTAATGACATTGACACTGGTACCAGCTGCCACAGGAAGGCTAATCTGGCCCGGCCGTGTGGCTCAGTGGATTGAGCTTCGCCTCATGCACCCACCGGGAGGTCATGGTTCCATTCTGAGTCAGGGCACATGGGTAGGTTGTGGGCTCGATCCCCAGTAGGGGGCGTGCAGGAGGCAACCGATCCATGTTTCTCTCTCATTGATGTTTCTCTATCCTTCTCCCGTACTCTTTCTCTAAAGTCAATAAAAAATTCAAAAAAGAATGTGATCAGCCCTGGCAGGTGTGACCCAGTGCTAAGAGCATCGGTCCGCACACCAAAGGCTCCAGGTTCGATCCCCCTTCAAGGGCAGGGGTGTGCAGGAGGTACGCTGAGGTGTCACTGAGTTGTGATTCAGTCCTTGGCCCTGGGCGGAGAGCGTGTAGGAGGTAATTGATCAATGTGTCTCTCTCACATCAATGATTCTCTCTTTTCTGTCTCTCCCTCCCTCGCCGTCCCTCCCTCCTTTCTACTCTCTCTAAATATCAATGGAAAAAATATCCTCAGGTGAGGATTAACAACAACAAAAAACAATAGAGGAAAGAATGCTAAACAGTGAGGTCCTCCATCTCAGCCCAGAGTGGACGCCCAGGGGTCCCGTAGCGGCCTCTCTTCGTGACCTGCCCCAGAAACACTCTGTATAGAAAAGGTGGCGTGTACATTCTTAATGTGGAAACTTTCCTTAATAATAGAATGTTTTTCTCCCCAAAACTTCTATTAGAACTATCCTATGCATGGATCTTCAATGAATACCCTTCCTTTGTTGAGGAGGATGGCCGGAGGTTCATCTCTCAGGAGACAGGCCACCTCTACGTAGCCAAGGTGGAGCCGTCCGACGTCGGGAACTACACGTGCGTGGTGACGAGCGTGGTGACCGCCGCCAGGGTGCTGGGCTCCCCGACGCCGCTGATGCTGCGCGCCGACGGTAGGAAACTCGAGGTGGAAATGTGGTGAATCCAAGCAAAAACTCACAGGGAGAGTGAAAAGTGTATCTCGAAGAATTACCGTTGCATTTGTTTCGGAACAAGAAATACTTTCGAGCGCAGGGACCACAATGACTCCATAAACCACGGGTCCCTGCCCACAGTCCTCACGCAGGGCCAGCTTCAGAATTTGCAGAATGAAAACGAGGGGCCTGGTGTTCCAAAGTGATTAACTCTGGATGGTGACCCCGTTAAACCAGGCGCAGGGCCCCTGAGCCTGGGACCGTGCTGCTCCCCACAAAGTCCTCTGTCCTCACCCTCGCCAGCTTAAGGCACTTTGTTACAAGCTAAAAGTTCTCTATAAGAAAAGAAAAAACATGCACATTAGGTCCCCAAAACGTATGCATCATACAGCTGAAAGTTTATACCCTTTTTAAAAATATATATATTTTAATTGATTCAGAGAAGAAGAGAGAGGGAGAGATAGAAGCATCAATGATGAGAGAGAAGCACTGGTCGGCTGCCTCCTGCACCACCCTACTGGGGATCGAGCCCACAACCAGGCAATGCCCTGACCAGGAATCAAACCATGACCTCCTGGCTCATAGGTCGATGCTCAACCACTGAGCCACCCTTTGATAATGTGTCATTTTGTCTGCCACCAGGAGCGTGGTGATGATAACTCACAGCACTGTGTTGTGTCCTTGGAATTAGCTTAGAGAGCAGATGTTAAGTGCTCTCATCACAATCAAAAAATAACAATGAATTAAAAGCAGTATCCATGGGAGGGCCTCTATGTGTAACCTTGACTGAGATAATCATTTCACAAGATGTACATATATTAAATCATCACATTGTACACTAAAAGAAGTCTAAATATATACAACACTAGAGGCCTGGTGCATGAGATTCGTGCACTTGGGGGCGTCCCTCAGCCCAGCCTATATATGCCCTCTCACAGTCCAGGAGCTCTTGGGGGATGTCAGACTGACAGGCAGTGGGCCCAAGCAGGCATTTGGACATCCTTAGTGCTGCCACAGAGGCAGGAGAGGCTCCCGCCACCGCTGCTACGCTCACCAGCTGTGAGCCTGGCTCAGGGCTTCTGGCTGAGTGGTGCTCCCCCGTGGGAGCGCACTGACCACAAGGAGGCAGCTCCTGCATTGAGCGTCTGCCCTCTGGGGGTCAGAGCGGGTCATAGCGACCGGTCATTCCACCGTTCGGTCGATTTGCATATTAGCCTTTTATTATATAGGATATTTACCATACAACCTAAATAGATACAGTATTTCTTTGTCAATCATACCTAAGTAAAGCTGGGGAAATAATGTTTCATTATGTCCTTCATGGCTGTTTCAAGGGAGCCTATGAGCTGCAGAGGAAGCAGACATGTAAGCCTGAGACACCGCCCACTTATTAGTACTCAAAACCATCTCTGATGCATCCCAATGCCGGACCACAGTTACCCGAGCCCTCTTCCTGGTCTGTTATAATTGCCCGTGTCCTTCCCCAGTTTTTACATTACTGTTTCCTGTTGGCAGGGATCCACTTACTAACTCGGTCTGAGCTGCCAGGGTGCCACTAAGTAACTTTCCTCCCATAATTTTTGCTCTTCGTGGTACGTCAAGAAGTCAGAACGCCTTGTATATTTCAGTTTGACCGGGAATGTCCTAATGGGGCAGACGATACCAAAGCCACCCATTTTCTACAAGGAAAACCCATGGCGCTTTTCTCAGAACCATTCCGTACACGGTAGCTTAGGAACCTGGGAATCCGAGGATGCTTACTCATGTTGCCCATGCGGCCCGAGTCAGCTCAGCGTCCGAACCCGCTAACGGGCGGGAAGTGAGTCATTGGCATCCCTGGGAGACGCTCGTCCCAGAGGCAGGAAGAGAACACTGTCTTGGAGGGAAAGGGGCCGGTTCCCAAGGAAAGGGTGAAACCGTGCAATCTGCATTGTGGCTTTACAGGTGTGATGGGCGAATATGAACCTAAAATAGAAGTTCAGTTTCCAGAAACTCTTCCGGCCGCGAAAGGGTCCACCGTGAGGCTGGAATGCTTCGCCCTCGGGAAGTAAGTTCCGTCGCCCTCCCTCCCTCCGACGTGCTGAACGGCAGGTGCCGTACGGGATCGAGATGGTTTATGACAGACTCTTCTTTGCCTTATTTTCTTTCTTTCTTTCATTTGGAAGCAAAGGAAAAAGCACAGGGGGAATGTGCATGTATCATTTGCTGTGAAACTCTAAAGGCGTCTGCTGAACACGCCTCTGCCTGATTTTGTAAAGAACTGGTGTTATGTTTCTTTTCCTCATTCCTATGATCATGCAGTGGGTAGGTTAGACCTTTTACACCAAATCATGAGTTCACGCAGGAAAACGCAGCACGTATGTTATTGCGCTGGGAACCTGAAGAGGTCGGGGTAGGTGTGTGTAATTGACAAGGCCAGAAACCCCTTGTCTTTTTCTGGATTCAAACTAAAGCTGTACTTGTTCCAGGCTTCAGTTTACAAGAGCAACTAACGCACCGCATTTCCTCGCAGCCCCGTGCCCCGGATCACTTGGAGGAGGAGTGACGGGCGGCCTTTCCCCAGTAAAATTAACTTCCGGAAATTCGGAGGTGTGCTCGAGATCCCCGGCTTCGAACAGGAGGACGCAGGCTCCTACGAGTGCCTCGCCGAGAATTCCCGGGGGAGAAACGTGGCCCGGGGGCGTCTCACTTACTACGGTACGTGTCCCCGTGGTCGGTGTCCCTGTCCCCGTGGGCCAGTGGGAGTGGGAGCTTCTCTCTTATCAAACTCTGAAGTGGGTGGGGCGGGAGGTCATGGCAGAATCCGGGGTCCAACTTGATCTCCATTTTGTGAAATCAGGATGAATATCGTAAAAGGGGTTGAAAAGACATAGAAGTCTGCAGTTGGAGGCATGCCATGTTCTTTCTCTGCATTTTAAAATGATTCCTATGATCTCTATATATAAAAGCTTAGCGACCGTCTGACCGTTCAACCATTCGACCGGTAGCTATGAGGCGCACTGATCACCAGGGGGCAGATGCTCAACACACAGGCATGGAAACATGGAACAGACTGATGAATCTCAGAGGGAAGGGGGCAGGGGGGAGGGCGGGAAGAGATTAACCAAATTTGTGTACCGATGGGGCCCCTCGGCCTGGGCTGCAGGGATTGGGCCGAAACCAGCAGTCCCACATCCGCCGGGGGGTCCAGGATTGCGAGAGGACTCAGGCCAGGCCCAGGGATCGCACTGGAGAGTGTCCCAGAGTGCACAGAGCTTGGAAGCAGACAACGGGGGAAGAGCTTGGCTTAGAAGTGACCGTGGCCACCTCCCCCTCAATATGGAAACGTTGATGAATCCGTGGGGTCGGGACGGAGGGAATGAAACAGTATCCGCTTTAGGGCTCACGTCCATCTGTGGCTCTGTCTTGTGCCCGTGGACATGTCCGTGGAGAGCGTATCTATCCTTTCCTCGGCTGGGGCTTGATGCATTCCTTCCCTTGCAGCAAAGCCTCACTGGGTCCAGCTCATCGGCGACGTGGAGGCCGCGGTGGAGGAGAGCCTGCGCTGGGATTGCCGGGCCGGCGGGAAGCCCAAGCCCTCCTACCGGTGGCTGAGGAACGGGGAGGCCCTGGCGCTGGAGGTGAGGCCCGTCCCGGGGCGTCCGCCTCTGTCCCTCTGTCCCTCTGTCCCTGTGTCTGTGTGTGAGGAGCGGTACAGGTGGAAACCCCGTCACCACGGGGAGAGCGTCCTCACATTGCATTTCATGGGGAAAGAGTGATTTTTGTGAATTTAGTCTATGCGATGCTGCACCACCTTTTAAAAATATATATTTTTTTATTGATTTCAGAGAGGAAGGGGAAGGGAGAGAGAGATAGAAACATCAGTGATGAGAGAGAATCATTGATTAGCTGCCTCCTGCACGCCCCACACTGGGGATCAAGCCCACAACCCGGACATGTGCCCTGATTGGGAGTCAAGCCGTGACCCCCTGGTTCATAGGTTGATGCTCAACTACTGAGCCACGCCGGCCAAGCCCCAGAACACTTTTTAATGCGCAGAATGTATAATGTCTTTAATCAACATTTTTTTTAAAAAATGGTGAAAACCTTTGCAGTTGAGGAGATGGAAAGCTTGTGACATTTTTAAGGGTCTTTAATGTTAAAGAGCTCTCTCTCCCTTTCCCTTCCTTTCTGAAATCAATAAAAAATATATGTACTTTAAAAGCATTCTGGAAGAGTAAGTGGTGGCAGCATTTTACCTCTTTCTTTGTTACTTGCAGATATACTTAAGGAAGAGTTAAATGGTGGCAACATTTTACCTTTCCTTGTTACTTACGGATATCCTTTCGGACTGACATGCTTGTTAGTATTTCAGTGCGTGGCTCTCACACTAATCATTCCCACATTTTCAAATGAAGAAGAGTTTAGATTTCAAGGCAGGTGGCCTGGCCATCTGAGGACACGAAGGAGGATCTTGTGAAGAAGCTGTCGTCAGCCTCGGCTGGGTTTGCTCAGTTCGTGGAGCGTCAGCCTGCAGACTGCAGAGCCCCTGGTTCAGTTTCAGTCAAGGGCACGTTACCTGGGTTGTCGGTTCAGTCCCAGCCCAGTCGGGGCACCTGTGGGAGGCAACCAGTCAATGTGTCTCTCTCACGCCGATATTTCTCTCTCTCTCTGTGTCTCTCCCCCTCCCTTCCACTCTCTCTAAAAATCAATGGGAACGATAAAAATAAAAAAATAAAAAATCAACGGAAAAAATATCCTTGTGGAGGATTAACAACAAAAAAAAAAAGTAGTTTTCAGCAGTTCCACTGCTCTGAGACGGTGGGGTGGACACACTGACCTGGGGGAGGTCTTGGTCTCCGTGCAGGAGCGGATCCAGCTGGAGAACGGCGCCCTGAGCATCGTGAACCTGAGCGTGGCGGACGCGGGCATGTTCCAGTGCGTGGCAGAGAACAAGCACGGCCTCGCCTACTCCAGCGCCGAGCTCCGGGTGCTGGGTGAGGCGCCCCTTCTCTGGTCTTGTTATTTTTCCTAAACCCTCCATGTTGCCAGAAGCAGAAATACTTACTTTTCTTTTTTCTTTTTTTAATTTATTTTTCTTGATTCCAGAGGGGAAGGGAGAGGGAGAGAGAGAAACATCAATGATGAGAGAGAATCATGGATCGGCTGCCTCCTGCACTCCCCACACTGGAGATCAAGCCCTCAACCCGGGCATGTGCCCTGACCGGCAATCGAACCGTGACCTCCTGGTTCATCGGTCGATGCTCAACCCCTGAGCCATGCCGGCTGGGCAGAAATACTTATTTTTATATTCCCACATCTGATAACATGTATGGTTTTCCCGGGGAGTGGGTCGGGGTTTCTCAACAAGGCCTACGCCCCAGTGGCTTCTGTGTTTTTAACCTGAGCCCTGGTCCTCTCTCCTGTTCCTCCCTCCTGTTCCTCCCTCCTCTCCAGCCTCCGCTCCGGACTTCTCCGCGACTCCCATGAAGAAGCTGGTGCGGGCGCAGGTGGGCAGTGTGGTGGGCCTGGACTGCCGACCACGAGCCGCCCCCCGGGCCGTGTGCTCCTGGAAAAGAGGCGAGGTGACCGTGCGGGAGGATGGAAGGTATTGGCTTGGTTTCCCCCCGCTTTCCACGGGGAGACCTGCGGGCCTCAGACACTATGGAAGATGCAGTTATTTTACCTGCAAGACGCGTTTGCTCCAGAATAGCAGGGGGATGCCCTGGGGACTGGGAGCTGGGGTGCACCCTCCCCAGTCATGGTCAAGGAGCAGCTGGACTTGATCCTAGAGGAGGAGGAGGGGGAGGGGCCTTTGGAGGAGCTGGGGTGGTCACAGCATCCTGGGGGCGGGGCTAATGTCACAGGAGCTCAGCCAAAGGTGCTGCAGGTGAGGACTGACAGGTGGGGTGTTCTGCTGGCCAGGAGGATCCCTTCCCTCCTCCGCTGCCCTGGTCTGTCCTCCTCTTTGGGGTCCAGGTGGCAGAGCAGGACAGCGCCCCCTTCAGGCCAGCCGGCTCCATTTCCAATGAGGATTCCATCCTTCATTTTCCACATTCTGACTAGGTTTTCAATAGGAGGTGAGACGCAGTCGCATTTCAACACAAGGGGAGGTGTTTCAGGACCAGGGTAGCCTGTTTTGTTCTGTAATCCCCTCCTGATGACAGTAGCCGGGCCCTGGAATCTAAAAATAGCGCTCTCTCCCTCTTTGCGAGAGGACTTCATCTTAGACAGGACTTTCCCTCCTGTCCTCATGAGTCTCCGAGAGGCAGAGCCCTGTTGAAGATGCCAGCGTTGCTCTCAGGTGGGGAGAGCGTCTCAGGCTCAGGGAATAGGGGTTAGTTCCCAGCCGAGGTCTCCGAAGAGCTGCTCTGAGCAGATAACAGGCTTATGGTGCGGAGAGCGGCCCAGGCTCTCAGCATCAAGTGCTCATTCTTCCATTTGGAAATATTTTGAGGACCAGCTACAGGCTAGTCACTAGGTATTTAGTCTTTGTTTAAATGTGTTTTTATTGATTTCAGAGAGGAAGGGAGAGGGGGAGAGAGATGGAAATATCAGTGATGAGAGAGAATCCTTGCTGGGCTGCCTCCTGCACATCCCACACTGGGGATCGAGCCCGCAACCCGGGCATGTGCCCTGAGTGGAATCAAACCTGAGACCCGTCAGGCCGCAGGCCGATGCTGTATCCACGCCGGCTGGGCTAGGTGTTTATCAGACACATCACTCCCCTTGTTCTTAGCTTCTTGGAGTCTGTGAAGGTGACGCAGGGGTCACAGGGGCACCCACTTGGGGAAGAACAGGAGGCTCTGTGATTCCCCGAGAAGGCCCGTCTGCATGTGAGGGAGCAGCAGCAGGAGCAGGTTATCTGGGGGACCTGGGTCAGTGAGACCGGAGAGGTGACAAGGGTTCTTGAAGAAGCGTGCCAGGCAAACAGGGGCGCCCACTTGGGGAAGAACAGGATGCTCTGTGATTCCCTGAGAAGGCCCGTCTGCATGTGAGGGAGCAGCAGCAGGTTTGCTGGGGGACCCGGGTCAGTGAGACCAGAGAGGTGACAAGGGTTCTTGAAGAAGCGTGCCAGGCAGGGGAACAGCACATGTGGGGCAAAGAGGCCTAGGCGGCCTGGGCATTGCCTTGCGGTGATGAAGGCTCCGTGCCCCTCGAGTGGACAGCACCCGAGGAGGGGTGCAGTGGGATGAGCAGGGGTCTCACTGGGAATGACGTGGTTGCTGAATTTCGGAGTCCGGGTTCAGTTCTGTGGGCCCTGGGGGGCAGCAGAAGTCAAAGTAGCAACATCAGAGGTCAGATTTCTGTTTTACAAAATCGGAGTGGTGGTCCGAGCTTGTTTGGCTCAGTGGCTAGAGCATCAGCCTTTGGACTGAAGAGTCCCGGGTTCGATTCTCGTCAAGGACACACACTTCGATTGCAGGCTGGATCCTGGCCCTGGTGGAGGCTCATACGGGAGGCAACCAGTCGATGTGTCTCTCTCACATTGATGTTTCTCTCTCTGTCTCTTCCTCTTCCTTCCTCTCTCTCTAAAAATCAATGGGAAAATAGCCTCTCCAAAAAGCTCCTCCTTTTGCTCTCCCTCTCCCCTCGCTCTCTCCCGCCTCAATAAACTTAAAAGCTTTGAAATCGTGCTGTGTATGTTCTCTAACCACAAAGAAAATAAATTGGAAAGCTGAAAAACATGTTTTGATGTGAACAAAAGAGCAGAGGACATACGACAAAAGTAAAAAGCTTTTCAAAAATTCATGGAAGCCCAGCCATCGTGGCTCAGTGGTTGAGCATTGACCTATGACTCAAGAGGTCACGATTCGATTCCTAGTCAGGGCTCTTGAAAACGTGGCCTTCAGGAATAATCATATCTCAAAAATCTACTTAGGAAAGTATATCATTTTCTAACCACTATGCTGTACATCTGAAACAAATACAGTATAATATCAAATATAAACTGTAAAATAAAAAAGGAAATCAGAGCATGTCCCTATACTGCCTATAAAAACAATGTTACAAGTTTCCCATTGCTCCTAGAATACAGTCCAACCACCGTACCCCACTGAAGGGCTTTGTGATCTGGCCCTGACTCCCTGTTTTCTCAAATGTTGTTTGTGCTACCCTATCTTTTGCTTGCCATGTTCTGGAAACATTGTCCTCAATAATCACGAGTATATGGTTAAAGATATTTCTGAAGTAGTAGAAAGGATGGCAGGGAAAATAATGTGCCTTGCCAACTTAGAAAAAATGGCAGGAGAGAACTGCATTGAGAATAATTGCTATAGATCATTTCATGTTGCCATTAATAAAGAAAACCAAAGCAGTTGCCTTTTTCCTTTTCATTGAATTTATTTAGGTGACACTGGATAACAAAATTATACAGGTTTCAGGTGCACAATTTCACAACACATCATCTGTACACTGTATTGTCTGTTTACCACCCCAAGTCAAGTCTCTGTCACTAGGGCCGAGAGGATGGGGTTCATGATTTGAAGAAACGAGAAGATAGGAAGGAGTCAAAGGTGACTCCTCAGTTTCCAGCGTGAGCACCAGGGCGGTGCATGGAAGACCTGGTCAGGGAGACGGAAGGTTCCGGAAGGAGCCGACAGGGGCAAGGAGTGCACGTTCATCGGGCTGGCTGCGTGTGCAGTGGGTGTGGAGAGTCATCGGACACATCGGGACTCGGGAGAGGGCTGAGCCGCAGACGGGATGTGGGAGCCGTGAGCAGGCGGACGGCCGCAGGAACCACGCGGTGGACCAGGTGCTCTCGGCGGGCACCTAGCCCCTGTCGGCACGGGGGAGGGTCTGCCTCTCACCTGGGAAGTGGGTGGAAACGTAACCGTTGAGTGGAGGATGCCTGCTTTACAATCCCATTTAAAGGGCTGACGGTTACAATGGATACTAGTAAGTAATTCATGTATTAAGTCAACTCAAGTCAAAGGTCAGCGTGACTCACCTGGCGGACAGGTGCACCAAACGTGGAAATCACCGGTGTCGACATGGGGCGAAGTTGTTTTGTTTTGTTTGGGGATGTTCCTGCCGTTTATTTTCTCGGTGTGCCACCCCCTGTTGAGAAGAAGTGCCGCCCCTCTCCCTGCCCTGCCCTCCCCTCCCCGCCCAGCGTCCCAGGTCTCAGACGCGTCAGTGTCTCCGAGCTGTGACATTGACCCATTTCCTCAAACCCACGAGTTTCCAAGACCGGAATGAAGATGGGGGGACTGTTCTCCTTTAAGCAAAGTAAACTTGAAAAAGGCCCGGACAGTGCAAACAGGCGCCGTCAGCAAGAAGAAACCTCCTGTTGGCACATTTGAAAGGCTGCTGAGCTCCCCGTGTCCCCGGGTAGCCTTTAAAATGCATTCGCCAATTATTTTTTTTTAATGGGGCTTTCACCTGAATGCCGCTGCTGATCACAGTAGATGCTTTACTGCGACGGCCTTCATTCAGAGGCGAGGCGAAGGATGGTCCATTATTTCTAATTAAACACATTAAAATTGTTTTATGTTCTATGCAGCATTTAATGTAGACATTTAAATGCTCCTAAAAGGAGGAAATGGTAAAGATTTCTTTCAAGTATCAGTGGCCGTGATGCCGACAGTGTTTTTAAAACGTATTAACCCATATTCTCAGTGTATTTTTTGCATATAGTTAGCAGGTGGCTGTTAGAGTGCCATCAGCATTATAGGCTGGGGGTGCCATGTTGATGACATTCCTGGAAAAGGCACAGCTTTGGGGACAGAGAACAGCAGTCCCTGCTTGCGGAGCCGAGCGTGGGTGGAGAGGGTGACTGTCG